AGTACCAGTTCCCCTTTTCTCCAACCCCCTCCACTCCCCCAGGATTTTGCAGAGTCCAGCCAAGCCGGACCTCTTTGAATAGGAGAGAGCATCTACGGGAGGAGTGGAGGCCTAGGACGCCTGGAGAGGAGTCTCTTCCCCCACTGTTGGGAGGCAACCTCCAGGGGCCTGGGGGTCTGGAATGAGTTGTAAATGTTGTTCCTGTTATCAAGCACTGTCCTGCTTGGCGAGAAGTGTCACTGGTACTCTGGGAAGCTGGAAACAGAAGCTTCCCCTCCCTCGAGCATCTGAGGGGGAGGGGAAGACCTGCCAGAAAAGCTATTTGCTGGGCCCTGGCGACAGGCTGTGCAGATGGATCTCGGCTGTTTCCTGGGGCAGGAGGACATCTTGCATCCAGGGATGGTTCTGGATTTCTTCGAAGGATGGCCGATCTGACGGTCTCAGGGCCAAGCACCATCTAATGAGATGCTGACACTCTGCAGAAAGCAAGACAGACAGAGGTTACAAATGACTCAACCTGTTTCTGCGATGCAAAGGTCTTGCTCATTTGCTTCCCCGGGGCCCACGACAGTCTGGGGTCCAACAGAGACCATGAACCTCCTAGAGCTAGTTTTCGATGGGAAGGTATTAACCATAAGAGCTGGATCTTCCAACTTGCTTTCAGCTAAAAAACAGCTCCCCTCTTAAACCTGTGGTTTTCAAACTTCAATAGCTGGGGCCTTTCCCACGACACCCACTCACTAGAAATAGGAAGAATGATGACAAGGGATATTTTGATGAGACATCAGTGAGCATGATGAGGTGATTCAATTCACCTACAACTTACAAATATGAACACCACCCACAATGAGGTCACTGGAACCACAATAGTTAGAGAGTCTGCCTTAAGGGGAGAAGGCTCAAAGAACCCTCAACTTTTCACTCTGTGGCAAAATAGCCAGGAGCCGAGGGATCAGGACTGCTGGCACAAAAACAAAAAACAAAATAACAAAAAAAAAAAACCAGCTTTCGGCCAAACTAGATGGTCTTTTCTTCACAATATTCTCACACATGGTCTTCCTATGGCCTCCCAGGGAATGCTCAACACAAACCATTCAATTCCTGAGCGCTAGCTCTCCGGAATCACTGGCCTAGGACTCTGCTAAGCCAAGGGTCAAGGCATCCCCTGGAGAGGGGAAGCTCTCCAGAATTCAAAGACTGTCCCCTGAGGCCTAACCGTCTTGTGATTCCTGCTTCTCTTCAACAAGGGGCTTCCCAAAAGTTACCTGAAGAGACCCTCTGCCTGAAGAAAACTTGGCCCCTGATGATCTCTTCATCATGCTCAAAAGGAATATCTCCACAGACCATATCATACAGCAGGATCCCCAGAGACCAGACGGCGGCCGACCTGCCATGGTAGCGATGGTAGCGGATCCACTCTGGGGGACTATACACTCGGGTCCCTGCGAGCCGGGGGAATAGAAAGGAAAACACACTTTTAGCAAAAAGAAACAAGGCAACGCATATAGCGAATGACTCTTACAAAATAACAGCACCACTCCACTTCTCCCGGGACAGGAGCTGGGCTAACTCTATCTCCCCCCTAGGCTAAAAGGAGTGGATGAGTGGCATCTTTCCAACACAAGGCCTTACCCACCTCTCTACCAGCCCAGACCATACACCAAAATTCTTTACAAACTGCTCCTACAGACAAACAGCGCTGGCCACAAACCCAAAGCCTGAGGCCCGCATGCGCTAGGACCACCCACAATGGGACGAAGGGATGAAAGTCTGCACAACCCAGGGAGGTATCCCAGAATATCCTGAAACTGCATGAAGGTGTCCCGGGAGCCTGGGTGATTCTCTTCTCAGCTGCCATCCAGTCCAGGGCCCTTATACAACATACTACATCCTAAAAGACAGGGTGCCCTTTGAGAGGCCTTCCTCCCCCCCGCTCTGAGCGCTGCGACAGACATCCACACCCTGTCTTCCCCCCACTGCAAAGGTAGACAGCGCTGCAGAGCCGGTTTCAGACCACGTGATTCCTGTTTACAAACTTTGGGTTGTAAAAAAAAAAAAAAAAAAAGGTGGGGGCCATTCCGCTTGTGCTCACCAGGGGGCAGCAAAGACTCGGAGGAAAAAACAAGGGAGGACCCGGCCAGCCATTAACTGTTAAATACAAAAAAAATGCTGCCCAACCCAGCGTCCTCCAAGGGCAAATAAACACAAACCACAAGCCCCAGTCACAAGTTTTGAAAGGCTGTAGTCGGTTAGGTTAAGCCGCTCAGATGATGACCCACCCTCCTTTGCTTTGATCTCAGGCTCTCTATTCCATCTTTTCTGAAAGAACCCGCTCCAAGCCCCTCCCTAGGGTAGGTTTTCATCCTCTCTGCGGAGACACCCAACTAATTTTCAAACCAGCAAGAGATCTTATTTCACAACATTCATTCCCGACTCCCTCACCCCACAATGCCCAAAAAAATAAATAAATAAATAAATGAGGAGGAAGCACAATAAAATGAGTTATTTAGTGAAACTACTGTTTCTATCCCTTTATCCGTCCCTAGATCAAAGGGGAGAGAAACTGCAGCTCTAAAAACTACATCACAGAAAACTCCTTTATAAAACAAAACAAAAATTACAAAGCCGGCGTCAATTTTCATCTCTCCCGCTCTCTCCCCCCCCCCCCCCCCCCCCATCCCTTTCCTGGCGGGGAAACTGGGTCAGACTTCAGAAATCTGGGCTACGGCCGGTTGCCCACAACCTCTTATTCATCGGAAAAGCTTGGAACCCACTGAATTCCACTTAAAAAATAAAATCATGCCAGAAACATGACAGGTTCAGCTGGCTGGAAATCTCCGGCTTTACTACGCTGGGAAGCTCTTCTTCGCCCCACCCCTGCTAGCATCGAGCCAGGCGGCCCGATGACCTTTACAAAGGGCCGAAGAGGGAAGCCGGCCGAGGCCTCCAGGCAAGGCCAAGTCACCTGGGCAGCTCCCTCCCCGGCCTGGCTCACCATCGAAGTCCGTGTAGACGGTGTCCTTGAGCAGCGCCCCCGACCCGAAGTCGATGAGCTTGAGCTCGCCGCGATTGAGGTCGATGAGGATGTTCTCGTCCTTGATGTCGCGGTGGAGCACCCCGCAGTTGTGGCAGTGCCGCACAGCCTCCAGCACCTGCCAGAAGAAGCTGCGGGCCAGCTCCTCCTGCAGAGCCCCCCTTTCCGTGATAAAGTCGAAGAGGTCTTGCACCGGCTCGGGCCTCTCCAGGATCAAGACGAAACTGTCGGGCCTCTCAAACCAGTCCAGGAGCCGAATGACGCCGGAGAAGCCCGAGCTCACCTTCTTCAGCAGGACCACTTCCATGGGCACTCGGGTGCCATTGGGCTGCAGGGGCGAGGGGGCTACGTCAGGGCGGGAGTCGGAGGGGACCCCTCACCCCACCCCATCCTTCAGGGTCGCTCACTCCAAGGCACTCACCAGCTCTCCCCAATCGGAAATCCGGTCCTTCTCCACGTGCTTGATGGCCACCTGGAAACCCCCCCAAAGAGGCTCCATTAGGTCCTCTCGCCGGGGCCAAAGCACACCCGAGAGTCTCCCGCCCGGCGCGCCCTCCCCACGGCGGGGCGCCCACTCACCGGCAAGTTGTCGGCGACCCGGATGCCTGAGTAGACCGAGCCGAAGCCGCCGCTGCCCAGTAGCGGGCCCACCTGGTACTGCGACTCCAGGGGCTCCTTCTCCTTGCCTAGGAAAGGGGGAGGCAAAGGGGACTCAGTGCCGGCCCGTGAGGGCCCCCCCTCCAGCTCCCAACCCTAGGGGTCTAGCCGCCTCCCCATCCCGGGATGGGGGGTGGGGGGTGGACGCTCACCGGGCGCCAGCTTGGTGGCGTGCAGGTCGTTGCAGGGCGCGGTGCGCAGGTGGGCAAGCGAGTTGATTTTGGACAAGAGCATCCCAACCTCCAGGGTGTCGGCGTAGGGACTGTGTCTGGAGGAGCTGCTGCAGGAGCTGGGGCTGGGGTTATGCCGGTGGCTGTGCCGATGGCTGGAGCTGAGGCTGCGGCTGGCGTTGCGGCTGCGGCTGCGGCTGGCGCGGAAGGCCGAGGGCGAGTCGGAGGACGACTGGGGGCGCTGCCGGGGCTGGCGGCTGGCGGACACGCCGGCGGGGTCAGTCAGCGCCGAGGGCGGCGGGGTGGGCGGCTCGTGGGGCTCGTGCGGCAGCGCCGCGGCACTGGGAGCTTGTAGCTGCTGCTGCTGCTGCTGCCGGTCCCGCCACCGCCGCCGCCGCCGCCGCCGCCGCCGCTGCCGCCAAGTCCTGTCGGGCCTCCTCCGCCACCGCGGCCGCTGCAGCAGACGCCCGGCTCGCCCAGCCGCCAGGAGTAAAGGGGCGGAGCGCGCCGGCGGTGGCGGGGGGGGGGGGGTCGCGGGCGGGCGGGGATGGGGCGGGGCCTCTCCGGGAGGCCTAGGCGGGGAGCCCGGCTGCCGGGCCGGCTGAGGGAGGAGAGGGGGTGGGGAAGCGGCGGGACAGGGCGACTCCCCTCGGCCCCCGCCCCGCGCGCTCCTTCGCCGCGCCCCGGCCCCGCCCCCGCCGGCGCGTCTCCAGCCAACCAGAAGCTGACTGATCTGCATAACGCGGCGCGCCCCGCCCACGCCCCGCCCCGCTCTCGCGGTCAGAATGGTCTCTACGCCGCCACGACGTGGCGGGAAGGAAAAGGCGCCAAAATGGAGGGGGAGGGGCGCGGGGCGTGAGGGGAGGCGGGAGCTGGGTGTCGAGCCGCGAGGGAGGAAGGATGGGGAGGGGCGTATCGATTCAAACCCAAACAATAACAAAGCCATCAAAGGCCGCCGGAGGCCGGCTCTGCGGCTCTCTGTTTCTCGGAGGTTTTTGGGTCAAGGGCTCGAGCTGGAGCATAACAAGTTGCGCGGGGACGACGGGCGTCGGTGTGTCAGGCGGGGAGGCCGGCGCGCCGGGGAGTGAGGGACTGGGGGGGGGGGGGCGGGGTGCCGACGAGGGTGGTCCTCCTGTGTGACTCAGACCCGAGACCTCCAAGTCGGCTTGGGCGGCTTCACGAGGCGCTGTGGGCTCGGGTTGGGTCCTCGGGGGTTGTGTGTTGGGGGCGCGTGGGGGGCGAAGGAGCTGCAAGATGTGAGTCACGGCGGTTTCACCGAGGGAGTGGAGGTGTCACAGGCCTGGAATAAAACCGGGGGAGAGCTCGGCTTATTCGGGGGAGGGGTCCAGATCGCGGTTGTTCCAGCTGGTGGAAAAAAAATCAGCCCCCAGATTCTCGAGCCGGCGTTTATTTTAAAAATGCAGGCAAGTACCAGTGAATCCTGATTCCTGAGAAGTGATGTGTGTTAGCGTGCCCGGCAAAGAGGAATCACGAAACAAATGTTGGTATTATGATGCCAGATGCTGTCTCAGCCCCTCCTGTGAGGGCGGGAGAAAGAGGAAAATTCCTCGCCGAAAACGAGGGTGGGAGGGCGCGCTTGATTTAATCAGAGTTTTCGCGTTGTGTTCACCTTTTCATCAGCCTGTTATTACCAGTCTGGCAATACTAGCAATCATTGGCTGCACCGAGTCTCGTCTCAAAGGAAATCCCCCCACTCGCTGCCCCACCGTGGAAATAACGCGCAAAACTGGCCAAATCCACTTCCAGCCTTTGTCCTTTTAAACTTCACGTCGAGTTGATAACGACGTGTGAAATGAGTCCATTAAAATTCTGTGTAATCCATACATCGAATCGTCGGTGGCCTAAGTCATCGAAAGCTAACTGCATCCCGGGTTAATATTTTTCAAGTGCCTGTCACTTAAAGGAGAAATGGAAGTTCGAGGATCTTAGCTGTAGCGGCAGTCCCTGGTGAATTTAGGTGTTTCCTTAAAAGTTTTCGCCGGCGCTTGTTTTAGAAAGATGTGCCCCGATGATAGTTCAGCTTTTACAAATCTATCTTCTAAAATATTCCATTCTCCTCTTGTTTGTGTTCTGTGGCCTAACTCTTATGGTTGGTGACTAGGAGAAAACCCAAGAGAACAAGAATTGCTCCCTTTTGTTCAGACAGGAAAATGACACATAAATAGGATGACACAGGGTCATACAACAATGACCCAAATGCAACTTGGGAGTGTTCAAAGATTGCCTTTCATCAGGGTCTACGACTGTCCTTGGTACTAAGACATCCAGTGTAAATGTAAGCGACCCAGCTCTTCCAATCCCCTTTACCCTGTTCTCCTTTTTCGAGCCCTACAGGACAACCCCGACATGCCCCCACTCACCCAGCACTTGCCAGACTTTCTGCCTTTCCAGAGGCGTCCAACCTATTTCCGAGGGCATCCTAGGGATGCCCTCACCTCTTCACTTTTTTTTTTTTCAACGTTTATTTATTTTTGGGACAGAGAGAGACAGAGCATGAACGGGGGAGGGGCAGAGAGAGAGGGAGACACAGAATCAGAAACAGGCTCCAGGCTCCGAGCCATCAGCCCAGAGCCCGACGCGGGGCTCGAACTCACAGACCGCGAGATCGTGACCTGGCTGAAGTCGGACGCTCAACCGACTGCGCCACCCAGGCGCCCCACCTCTTCACTTTTATTTAAAGCCTTTCCAGCCTCCAGGACACCAGACTGTTAAACAACGCCAAGCCTTCTTCACTGTCCACTCCACTCATCTGACAATCATGTGTTTGGCTTTTTATTTTTTTTAGATCTCCTTGTTGCTTAACTCCTCAATTAGTTAGTTATACCTTGTTTCCCTATTCTTTGAACATTATATATATTTATATATTTTTAAAGTATTTTATTATTTTTTTAATGTTTATTTATTATTTATTTTTGAGAGAGAGACAGAGTGTGAGAGGGGAAGGGGCAGAGAGAGAGAGGGAGACACAGAATCTGAAGCAGACTCTAGGCTCTGAGGTGTCAGCACAGAGCCCGATGCCGGGCTTGAACTCCTGAACTGCGAGATCGTGACCTGAGCCAAAGATGGATGCTCAATGCCCTGAGCCACCCAGGCGCCCCAAACGTATATGTTTTTGTTGTGCAACATCTGTTGGACAACATGTGTCGTTGAGGAGAAGGAGAAGACCAAAATGAGTCTCAACAAAAAGGTCATGAGAAAAGTCAACTGATACTAAATTTAAGTGAATTAAGCGGGCTTGGGTAAAATAAAGGGAAGGTGAGGAGCAAGGGGCTTAAAAATATGGGATTTGGCACCTACTAGTTATGTGACATTCGTCACGTTACTTAACCTTTCTAAGCTTTAGACTCTGGATGGAAATAATAATAGCACCTACCTCATAGGGCTGTTGTAAGGCGCAAATAAAATTCTACATGTAACGCACGTACCCTAGCACAGAGTAAACTTCTAATAAATGTTAGCCGTGATGACAATAATGACGATTGTGATTATGACAATAATGATCTTGGAATGGTCTTGTACCTTGGAGGTTCCAAAGGTGAAATACTAGATACATCTGATTGTAATCATCCAGGGACAGAATGTGATTCAAAAGAATTGTATACATTAAATCAAGTTCAACCTTTTTCACTTTCTCTAGATCTTTGCAGGGCTAAATATTTAATTAGGTAGAGCTAAAGTGATTAACATTTAATATGCTGCTTCGTATGGTGGCTGCTTCACAGCTGGAAGTTACAAAACATGGACCTTGCTTGGCAAAGAGCTTTTATTTACTTAAAACTGCTTTTAAAGATAATTATTAAACATTCAAGTATGTATTGCACTAAAAGTTACTCTTCCAGGGAGGGTAGGGAACTTGATGTGTTTATTCATCAAAATGTAGTTTTAATAATAAAAACAATCGCGGTCTGTGCTGTTTCAAAGAACCTAACAAAGAATCAGAAAAATCGTGCTAATAATTAAATAACAAGAGCTTTTGGAAAGATAAAGGCCATAATTATGCTTACAATTCTCTGTAAAGGGAAGAATTTGTTAATGTTAATTTGAACAATAGCCACATTAATTCTTTGGTAGTTTCCATATTCCACCTGATACAGAGTTAATCAAGTCATTGTCAAAAGGAATGACTTTAAAAAAAAAAAAAAGGAATTACTTAAGCAATTTCTGTAATACCAGAAGCTTAGAAGTAAGTTTGAAAGGGATGCCTGAGCGAAGCCGACTGAGCCACCCAGGCGCCCCTGGGTGGCTCAGTCGGCTTCAGGTCACGATCTCACAGTCCGTGAGTTTGAGCCCCGCATCAGGCTCTGTGCCGACAGCTCAGAGCCTGGAGCCTGCTTCAGATTCTGTGTCTCCCTCTCTCTCTGGCCCTCCCCCCATTCATGCTCTGTCTCACTCTGTCTCAAAAATAAATAAATGTTAAAAAAAAAAATTAAAAAAAAAAAAAGAAAGGGATGCCTGTACACTTTTTTAAAGTACCTCTGAGTCTAGTTGATGCACTCATATAATAAGTAGGTCTGTATAGCATTTTCTCTATAAGCTATTTTCAATTAATCGGGTGGAAATCATTGGGATCTATTTCTTTCCTAAAAAAAGAATTACTGTATTTTTTTTCAACGTTTTTTATTTATTTTTGGGACAGAGAGAGACAGAGCATGAACGGCGGAGGGGCAGAGAGAGAGGGAGACACAGAATGGGAAACAGGCTCCAGGCTCTGAGCCATCAGCCCAGAGCCTGAGGCGGGGCTCGAACTCACGGACCGCGAGATCGTGACCTGGCTGAAGTCGGACGCTTAACCGACTGCGCCACCCAGGCGCCCCATACTGTATTTTTTTTTAATTGAAGTTTGGTTGGCACACAATGTTACATCAGTTTCAGGTGTACGAATTACTGTATTTTTTAAATGTTTAATGGTGAAACACCACTATCTTTTATTTTACTCTTCCTTGTTTGGGGAAATAAAAAGAAAGGAGAAAATTTGGAGAACGCCAACCACCTCAACAATTTAAAAATAACTCCAATCGCCTCAACAGTTGTAAGATTATTTAGAAAAATCTAAATTTCACATATATTTCCTATGTATGGAATATATGTAAAAATCCACTACAAACTAAGTCATGGAACCGTAAATTTTAAAAGATTGAAGCAAAGCCTCTTTTTTTAGTTGTCATAATCATGATAGTAGTGGACAGCTAAGACATCCACAGTGTCCCAAATTCAGAAAGCTCAGGGAATCTATGTTGTCAAGCTAGAACTGGTTCTTGTCCTTGATAAGATGTGACATTTGTTTCAAGTGTATAAATCACTTTTCAGTTTCCTCAGCAAAGTTGGAGAAAGAAAGTGTTTTTATTATCTGGCGAAGTAATTTAACTTCATTACCAATTCATCTCTTTTTTAAGAAATTAAAAATAACCTATGGGAATGCAAGCTGGTGCAGCCACTCTGGAAAACAG